TTTCTGCAAAACTATTTGAGAACTTATCTGCACTAGACAACCCTAACTGAGAAATGAAAGACTAGATAGACAGCAATTAGTCAATACAACTCACTGCTAACTCTTGGACTACCCTTTTACCACCTAAAACAGTATATTATTATCACATTATAATGCCTCCCAGGGCATGTTTAGTGAGAAGATTCAAACCCGTGACCAGCAGATTGTGACTCAAGGATTCTAGTCACCAGACCAAACATTTCTTCTTACCAGTTCATCTATTTTGTACTCTAGAAGGGTAATAACCAGAACATATTTCAAAGTCCGTGTGTCTTACGAAAAAGGATAGCATGAACTTGTATAAATGTAAAATAAAAAATAATAATAATTTCAGATAAATGGCAAAATGATCAATCAATGGCATAATTGGGTTAACTTACAATTATTCTAATACGATTCTTAATCATTTGACAAGAGCACTTTGGTGTATGTATTTGTGTTGTTTTTCATCAAAATTAGATCAGGGCTACTACTTTCATTAGAATAATTAGAATATTGATAACTTCAATTATCCATTAACTGTTTTGAACAGCTTAGATGTGTTAATTAATTCAACTTTATAAGTTCTTTGGTTTATATATTTGAATATGCCTATATCATTATAGTATTCGCATATGACAAAGAATGATTAGTGTCTGCTAAACACAATGCATTTACTATGAACTCATCTTGACTTTGTTTCTTACAAGCCCTGTCTGGTACCTCATACGCTAATTGCCAATTAACCAAGTTCTTTGCAGGGATAATAGCACGTGGTGTTCGGGAATGAAAAGCTTGTTTGTTTGTTATTAAGCATGAAGTTGCAAAATGAGTTATTTGTGCTGTGCCCACCACTAATACCAAAACCTGATTTTCAGCATTATAAGCCCTTAGTATCATTGCTGAGTTTTAGAGATAAATGTAAATTTTTTTTTGTGTCAGTGAATTGGGTAATCGCTCTGGATTTCCCCAGCACTCGAGCACAGGTGGATGAAAGCCATATGCAGGGCAGTCTTTTGTGTGCAAACCTAGCTTAAGTTGTTATTGTATGTTTCATATTAAAAGCCAGATCCCCTTTTGTTTGGCAGGTTTTTCAGAGATTTTTCTAAACTTACACTTAGATTTGAACTGTACATTAAGATCAATTTTGATGTTGATTATGTAATTGAATTTAGATATTGATAAGATTTTCAATTAACTTTTCCTTAGGCCTTTTGTAACACTTTACTTTTATCATAACTTTAACTATACTTTAGAGGTTTTAGTAGGATATGTTATTTTAACTAGTGGCAAAAGACTTTCTTTTATTCTAACTTGACATTGGGTTTAACTTAATGTCACAATCTTTTAGTTTACCTTACTGGTGTAGAGAGGTTGCATATAACCAAGATGGGAATCAGTGTTATAGTTCTGTTAACCAGGGAAAGCTACCAGTGTGATTAGACCCACCAGCAGATGGGATGGCGAGCCCTCACAGGCAACCACAATGCAGAACAATAGAGAGTATTCCCATAACAAGAGGGAAGTTGTTGGTGTTGCCATGAGTCATGGACAAACCTGCAACTTTGCAGGACAGATGGATGAGGTGCAGCCAGCTTTTCTTCACTCAGCAGCTCCAGAAGTTGGAGTCGATGCTTGAAGCAGAGTATAGAACTTCTGCAACTTGCTTATCCACTGGCTACCCATCGTACAGGATGTTTTATTTAAGGGTGAACCATGAGATATAAAATTCCATGGTGGGGCCGAAGCAGACCTCTGCTCAAGTATGAGAGAGAGAGAGAGAGAGAAGCTGATTAAGGGCTGGGACATGTTTTGGAATATCCCAGACAAGCCATTCTTTGAAGTAAATAGAATTTTGAAGACAGACAATGCTATGGTTGACATTTAATCTGTACGTACCCTTGACTTTATCAAGTGGTTGGTATATTTAAAACTGCAATAGTTGATCAAAGTAACAAGCCTGCTAAGACAGTTGTATGTTAGAGAAACTAGTGACTGGAAGGGTGTTGTGTCCCTGACTCTCTAAACTAGCAAGTGATAGTCCAGCAAAATGTGGGAATAGCATTTTGTAATGACCACTCTATCAACACATTAATGTTAGCTATGTAGTTGAAATATTACTAACTGGAAGAACATATCATTTCTTGTTTTCCAAACAATCAGGTGGGGGTGTGACAGTTGTAAATAAAAAAATTACGATGGAAAGGCTTTGAGACTCTTTTTTCCAGAATTATGAAGCAAATTTCTATCCAAAAATAGCAAACCAGCATTGCTTGTTTGTTTTTAATTATGCACAAAGCTACACAAGGGCTATATGTGCTCTGCCCACCACGGATATCGAAACCCGGTTTCTAGCGTTGTAAGTCCGCAGACATACTGCTGTGCCACTGGGGGGCACAAGCATTGCAAGAAGATTACTCTCCTTTAGAGGAGGAGCACAGTTCGATGTTTTTTGAAGGTAACTCACTCTTATCCAAATAGCATCAATTTTCCTGTTGCTTTTCCAACTAACAAAAGTGGATCAACTTGTGGAGTGTCCCGATGGTTTATGGGTAGTGGCCACTTTGGATAGTGAAGGTACATTTCACTACCCATAATTGCACATAGCCAAAATTGGTTAAAGTATTGATAGAGTAGAGATTGATAGAAATACACTACATGACTCGGTGACTTTTAATCTCCAGTAGCGGGGTTAACTGACTATTCTGGAAAGCCTTTGAGCTGGGAACTACTAAATAAATTAATTTTGTTATTGTTTCTTTACACGTCTTTTCATTCCTGAACTTTTTCGTGTTAAATTATATTTGTTTGAAAGCTATGAAAACTTTATTCCTTGACAAGACCTCACTTAGATAAGCTTAGTTAGATTTAAAGAAAACAAAAGACGAGACAAAAATATTCTGAGGACTAAAATGTGACTCAAACCTAATTTATCGTATTAAAACAATGCAAGTAAAATAACTTACGTTATTGATAAATTATGTTTATTAGATACAAAGTAGTCTCTACCAAGAATATTGTTAACAAAAAATATTGTTATCTAAGTGCCATTTTGAAAGGTCAGGCCGTAGGTCATCGATAAAGCTTTGTCAGTTTGCGTCGTGTTTTTACAATTTGTAGCCAGAAAGTGGTGACTACAAAATACTGACAAAATAAATCATCATAAGAAATATGTTAAGGAATAACAAACAAGTTGAAACTAATTGTGTGTGTATATATATATATATAC